CTTACAAACACATGAAAGAACTCACACAGGAGAGAAACCTTACAAATGCAAGGAATGTGACAAATCCTTCAGATATTCCAGTTCTTTACAAATGCACAAAAGGACTCACAAAGGAGAGGAACCCTATGTATGTAAAAAATGTAGTAAAGCATTCAGATATCCCAGTAATCTTCGAATACATGAAAGAATTCACAGTGGGGAGAGACCCTATGGATGTAAGCAATGTGGAAAGGCCTTTATATCTTACAGTTCCTTACAAACACATGAAAGGACTCACACTGGAGAGAAGCCCTTTGAATGTAAACATTGTGGTAAAGCCTTCATTTCTCGAAAATCCCTTCTAAGACACGTGAAAATGCATACTTGAAATAACACCGTATCAGTGTAAGGAATGTGGGGAAGCATCACTTGCTTGGTTTGCATCAAAGATATAAGAGAATTCACACTGGAAATAGACACTATGAATGAAAACAATGTGGTAAAGCCTACATTGAACAGAGTTCCTTACAATGACATGAAAGAACTCACACTGGAATAAGAACTATGAATGTCAGGTATGCAGAAAAGCCTTTACTTTTAACAAAATCCTTCAAAATCACAAGATGAGAGTGTACTCAGCAGAGAAACTACATAAATGTGAGGCATGTGGGGAAACCTTCAGTCATTTCTCTTCTGAAGACATGAAAGGACTCACTGGGTCAAATCTCTTGAATGTAATTAGTGTGGGAAATGCTTCAATTGGCCCATATCTTTACTTGTAAAACTTCCACCAAAAATATAAAAATGTAAATAATGTAAGAATACCTGATGAAAAGTAATTAATATAGCCCTGACTGATGTGGCTCACTTGGTTGGAATGTCATTCCCATGCACTAAAGGATTGTAGTTTCTATGCCCAGTCAGGGCCCATACCCATGTTTCTGGTTCAATTCCTGGTAGGGGCCTGTAAGGGAGGCAACCAAAGGGATGTGTCTTTCTCATGTCAATGTTTCTCTCCTTCTCCCCCTCTCCCCTTCTCCCCCTCTTCCCTCCCCCTTCCCTTCCCCCTCCCTCTCCCTCTCTCTCTTCCTCTCCCTCACTTTCTCTCTCTCTCTAAAATCAATTTTAAAACCCCAAGAATATCTCCAGGTGAGAATTAAACAAATTAATTAATATATAATATTGTAGAAAATTTCAACATTAAAGGGTTGGTAATAAAATTGTAAATTATGTTCATCTAACTTCTTTCTTTTCTTACTAAATAGTGCATCATTGAATACTGGGTTTTTACTGAAGTAGGCACTTGGACAAGGAGGAGGGGAGGTTAGGGGCATTGACCAATTACATCATAAAAAATCTACCTACAACTTCAGCTGGACCTCTGCATGTATGGATTCCCAATTATTTACAGAGATGTCAACTCCAATATAAGTGGACTGTGCAGTTCAAACTTGCGTTGTTCAAGGGTCAACTGAAATTATTTTCAGAAATGAATACCGATGGGAGATAGTTCTGCGAGTTCTTTCAGCAATAGTACATAACATGATGAGGTAGTGATTTTTTATTAAATCAGTAACATTGTCTTTTTATATTTTGAAGTCTGTTAGATTTATGGGTTAATTCAAGTGTATTTCTAATATGCAATTAGATTTATTTTTTTTAGGATGTTTATTTTTGTATGTATTAAAGGGCCATTGAAAAATGACAGTTTGGTTTAAGTTGATTTTTTCCTACAGGCCTTGTGACAGTTCCTGCATATTCCTGGTCTATTACATATATTCTCTCTTTCTTATTGAATATGTGTTTTTTTTTTTGGGGGGGGGGGTAAAAGATCCTACTTTTCCCACTCTTATAAAAAGTTGGAGTAAATTTTGTCTGTCAAGTTTATGAAAGAATAAAGTTTTATGTGACTTATTTTTATTGTTAAACTTTCACATTTTCCTCTTGACCAACATATGGTAAGTAGATGTTGACTTAAGAAGAGAGACCTGCTCCGGCTGGATGTCTCAGTTGGTTGGAGTACCATTCTATCCACCAAAAGGATTGCAGGTTTGATTCCAGGCAGGAGGCAACTGGTCGATGTTTCTCTCTCATAGCTCTCTCTCTCTCTCTCCCTCTCTCTCTCTCTCTATCTATCTCTCTCTCTCTCAAATCAATAAAAACATATATTCATATGAGGATTTAAAAAAAAAGAGGAGTTCTGTGATAGAACAAAATATCTCTGGAGCTATTCCCTCTTTTGCTAGTGGTAGAAAGTAGATTTTTCAGGATTCATTTTCTCTGAGGTTCCATGTTAAAATATACCAATAGCCTCACTTGTATGTGATTTGGGAGTCAGAAGCAAAGAAGTCATTCTGTCAGATATTGGAGCCACCACCATACAGAGAGAGACAGATACATAGTAACTTTGAGGACACCATCTTCCAGCCGATTTTTTGTATTTCTTACCCTCAATCAAGTGTATCTTCAAAACCACCACCAACTCTCTAATTTTCATTTTCTTAGAGGTGTGGTTTTCTCTGATGTCTTCACAAGATCCACATAGAACAGTGATGGCGAACCTTTTGAGCTCGGCGTGTCAGCATTTTGAAAAACCCTAGCTTAACTCTGGTGCCATGTCACATATAGAAATTTTTTGATATTTGCAACCATAGTAAAACAAAGATGTACATTTTTGATATTTATTTTATATATTTAAATGCCATTTAACAACAAAAAATCAACCAAGAAAATGAATTCTCCTGTCACCTCTGACACACATGTCATAGGTTCGCCATCACTGACATAGAAGGTCTATCAAGAATGTGGATTAATTTTAAGCCATCTGTGTACACCAGGAAACAGTTTCAGACTTCCATGCTTGCGAGTATTTTCTGGTGCCCCTCTCTTCTGGATTATTCAACTTAAGGCCTATTTTGTATAGGAAACAGTTTTATGGTATTAATAGTGCAGGTGAGCCCTGGCTGGCTTGGCTCAGTGGATAGAGCATCGGCCTGCAGACTGAAGGGTCCCGGGTTTGATTCGGGTCAAGAGCACATGCCCGGGTTTCGGGTTCAATCCCCAATTGGGGGCGTGCAGGAGGCAGCCAATCAATGATTCTCTCTCATCATTGATATTTCTCTCTCTCCCTTTCCTCTCTGAAATCAATTAAAAATATTTTTACAAATAGTGCTGGTGAGCATATTTTTCTGATTCACCATGACATGTACAGTGGTGCAGTAAAACCAACATGGAAATTTATTTCTCAGTTGTGTGTGCAGTGGCTGTCTTGTGAGAATAAGCATCTTCCTCTGGATTTTGTCAACACTAGGGGTCCAGTGCACGAATTCATGCCAGGAAGAACTGAGGGTGTTTTCTGCTACTTATAGCTGAATGTCATCTCTCATTTAGTTTTCAGTTACTCTTGATTGCATATGATTACAAGTATGAGCATTTTTTTTGTCAAATGAACATTTTTGTAGTTGTTTCAGAGAAATATTTTATTAACATTTTTAAAGCCATTGAATGCTAACAAATACGGTGCTTCCTGTGATGAAACATTAACATGTCCCATTATAATAATGGAATTTCAGATAAAGTTTGTAATTTTTAATTCGGTTATTATACATTATGAGACAATTTTATCAATTGCATGCATGTATGTTCAGGTATTCTTCCTCGACGAAAATTTGTTTTATAGTTACAATTTTTGTCATGAAATTAATTTTTTTCATTCTTTCTAAAAAATATTTTTATTGATTGTTAGAGAGTGGAAGGGAGAGAGAGAGAGAAAGAGAAACATCGATGTGGGAGGAGACCATCAATCAGCTGTATCCTGTGTACCCCTTACAGGGGATCAAGCCCTGCAGCAATATAGAAAACCCTGCATTCCTGTGATTAACAGTAAAGATTCCCCATAAAGATAAATATACAGACATCACTTTTCTTCATTTTTTAAATTATTGAGCATTTTGTATATAGATTATGTAGTCATAACTTTGGACATTGTTGTCTGGGACTTGAACTTTCTATTGATTTGGGCCACAGATATTTGTGGTCTCTTTTGAAGTTTAATGTCATTTCAGATGATTTTCATTTACCTTTAAAATTTTTAAGTGACAAAGTATTTGGCATTTTGATTTTGCTGCCATGCACACAGAGTGACCTGAGGTATACACCGTTAAACCATGGAGTCCTCCCATACTGGGAAACACCTACGTTGATCTGCATCATGCTAGCCCATCCTGAGTTTATTCTGTGAGTAGGGTGCTACCTGTGCAAGTCTACTGTATTTCCCACACAGAAATACCAAAAAGAGCTGTGGATGTTTAGAGGCAGCCATCCAAGGAATAATTGAGGTGCGCTGTAGAAAGTAAATTATTTTCAGTAATAGCCTAATTTAGTATAAAGGAGGTATGAGGCCCTAGCACAAAATATATTTTGGCTCAGTGGATAGAGCATCGGCCCACAGATGGAGAGGTCCCGAGTTGGATTCTGGTCAAGGACACATACCTCTGTTGTAAGCTCTATCCCTGGCCCCGGTTAAGGTGCATGCAGGAGGCAACCAATCGATGTAGCTCTCTCACATCGATTGTTTTTCTCTCTCTCTGTCTCTCCCCTTCCCTTCCACTCTCTAACAATTTTGGGACACAAAATAGCTACAAGTTTTTATACAGTGTAAGTAAATTTAAAAAAAATGATGTAGGCTTACGTATAGAAGGGGTTTTATTCAAGTGTTCTTTGTTTCTTATCTTTTGGTGGTAGTATACATTGGTGAAAGCTCACAAGTAACTTAAAATATTTCATATATGTATATTTAATTATATGTATATTACATGTATATATTTAACGGAATGACACGTTGACTTTTCTATACTAGGAGAATGTTAAACTCTGCTGAACCTTGATTTTATATGTTCAATTCTTCCCACCACTGTGCGATCCTTGTTAAGAGGAATCGAATAACTAGGGAAGAAGGACACAGGCCAAAAGGCCTTTTTTAAAAATATATATTTTTTTATTGATTTTAGAGAGGAAGGGAG